ACGTGCTCGAAGCCCGCAAGGACCCAGGCCTGCCACCTGCCCCGAGGCCCAGGCCGAGACCGGCGTCGCCGCCTCCCCGACCCATTACCCTGGATGACGAAGGCGGTGGCCGTCGCCGCCCGCGTAACGTGGCCGACGGCGTAAACGTGCTCGAAGCCCGCCGCGACGCAAGCGCCCCGAGGCGCCCGCCGAGAGGGCCGGATACTCGCCCCGACCTAGTCACCGGCCGTGCCCGCCCCGCGTAACGTGGCCAATGGCGTGAACGTGCTCGAAGCCCGCCGCGACCCAGGCCCGCGACTTGCCCCGAGGCCCAAGCCGAGACCGGCGTCGCCGCCTCCCCGCCCCGTTACCGTGGATGACGAAGGCGGTGGCCGTCGCCGCCCGCGTGGCGTCCCAACGCTCGACTGGGAAACGGCCAAGATCGTGGCCCGCTACTACGGCTTGGGCGAGGAGTAGGACGGGCACGACGTTTGGGAAGACGAGAAGTGAACCTGAAGGGGATGTTAGAAAGGAGTTTTGTCGGTTGCAGTTCCGCCCCCCACGCCTAAAGACACTCGAAACGTGGGGGCTTGCTGTCTGTGCAACGACCTGTCCACTCGTTTAGCGCTGCTTTCCAAATCATTTTATCTGTATTTAACCTTCCCGCTTTGTTCCCATTAAAAGGACCTAAGCGATAGTTTTAAATCCCGAGTTTTCATACTCCCAGACATTTCTCTGCTTGGACTCTCCCGTGTTTGTACAAGCGCGAGACTGAGGCCCCGGCCTCGCGCTTGCCGTCACGCTTGAGGATGGCCCTATCGGTGTGCCGTTGGCGCAGGTTTTCTCCTCGCGTAGCCCGTCATTTTCGGGGCGCCTGTCGAGCTCGTGGCCCTGGCTGGGGCGCCACAGTATAGCTCGGTCGGAGACGTGGCATGGCAGGGCCCAGCAGAATACGCGGTGCGGGATGTGCCGCCTTAGGGCCTTCATGATGCCGGCGAGCCCGTGGCATATGTCCCTCGGGTTCGTGGACTGTCGCGGGTGTACTGCGCCCGCGAAGGTTGGCGTACTCTGGAACGCCGTGTCCTGGGTGGCGTTTTCGATCAAAGTGGCGCTCGCCAGGTATAGTAGTAGCCGCCAGACTGTGATTTCTCCTCTGTCGGCGGATAGGCTCGCTGCGGGAATATGCTGGGAGCTGACGTGGAGCGAGCCGAGCCGGCCTTTCAAGGCTTCCCCGCCTCCGTAGGCATTGCTTGTGCTCTTCGGTGGGCGGCTAGGCATGGATAGGGTTTTAACAGGATACAATCAGCTTGTCGGTCTCGGGCATTTACCCATCGACCACTAGTTCTCGTGGGGTTAAACCCAACATCCTCTGATAATGTAGCCGATAAAAATGCGCTTAGGCGCGATCCTCACTGTGGGAAGCTGGACGCCTCGATGGGATGGCCGCTGGCTCCCACCGTCGTGACATGCATTCTGCACCGAGTCGAATCAGCGCCAGGGCCTGGACGAATGCACTGTTCTTTGTAAGGCCTTTTTTCTGGCGCCCGAATATGAACCGAGTTGGAGGCCGTGACCATCCAAGAGCTTCTATGTAGGAAGATGACGCCACGGAATGGGCCTGATGATAGAAGGCGGGGGATAAGGACTAGCACGTTGGCGAAAGCAAACTACAAAGCACAGCTGGCCACCAGTTGTATAGAGCAGCAATCCCATTGCGAGGTGCGTTGTATGTAGGAACACGCCTGCTTTGGTACCTAGGTACCTATATACAGGTTAGACAGATCAGCCATCACCTTTCAACGATCCCGTACAGTGTACCTATGTTCCGGGAAGAAAAGACAGCTGAGCAGGCCCCAAAGATCGAGCCGCCTCAAATGAACAGTGCGTTAGCGCCGTGGCCCTCCGCCCGAGATACAGGTCTAGGTGGCGGCCAGGAGGAGTCTGGGCAGGTCCGGCCAAGGCCATGGCGGCGGCTTTTCTGCCCAGCGCGATGATGGACGCGACGATGGTGACGGGCCCGCCGCCGCCAAAGTCACCTAAGTTGTCCTGGGCCACTGTATTCTCCCGCCATGTGTGAAGAAGACATCCATCCTCTGGGGCGAGGTGACGGGTGCTGCCGGCACAGGAGATGCTGTGTGCCGCGAGGGCGGAGATGGATGATGGGTGCGGCCGGGCTTTTGGCGTGGCAGACGTGATGAAGGTATTGAAGTGGAGCGGAATCCGCACTTGGTTATGCTGCCGTGGGTCCCTGCTTATGATTTGCTAGGTGGGTCGGTTCCTTGGTCCGAGCGGGGAGGGTTTGGCTACGAGCGCCATGTTAGGGAGGCGGCTATTATGTGCTCAGAGATGACACCACCGTGGGCGAGAGGGTACAATTGGACACGACGGTAAACATGGTTAGCATGACCAGAAGAGAGAAAAAAAAAGGGGAAAGAAAGCACTAACGCGGTCCAGGCCGACAAGACGAACCGCAACAAGGCACCCACGCGCTAGGTCACCATTCTCACAGATGGCGAGGACTCTCCTTACGAGCGGAGGTTCAAGATCGTGCAGCGCGGTGACGATGCCGATGCCCTGCAGCCCAGCATACCACAACCAAGGGCGACCAAGCTCTGCGCTCTCGACGGCAACCACTCGGCCATGGGCTGGTCCAGGACCGTGACAATCAACACTGACGGCCGCTACCACCTGTTTCGGAGCAAGAAGTACCATGCCTAAGAAGTCTAAATCGTTGTCATCGCTGCCTCCGTCAGCATCAAGTTCGAGGTTACGTCCGGGGCGAGCACTGCTCCGACCACCACGAGCTGCTGAGACTGAAGTGGGAGGCCGAGGACGCGGCGGAGCGGCCGGATGTGGAACGACCGCGCAGAGTCACAAGGGAAACATGAGGGGAGGGGGGGCATCCCGAAGAGACTCCGAAATCATCAGCATGTTGAACCAGCATTTCCAAGCCCCCCATTGCCCTAGCCATGCTAGTGATGAACGCCAATCTATATTCGCTGCTCCGTATGCGTAACAACCAGCCGTTAACCGCCAACCCAAAGAAATACAACCCATGCTCCTAAACTTGCGGACGTATCTTACTGACCCTCCCGTCCACCCGCAGCCCTCACCTCTCCCTGCCGCCGCATCAACTCCTCCAACCTCTCCCGCTCCCGCTCCCGCTCCCGCTCCCGCAGGTGCTGCCCGCCGCTCGGCACGTCCTCCTGCGCCTGGAACGGCGCGATGTCATGACTGATCTGGCCCTGCTGCACCCCCACAGCCGACAACGGCCGCCGCCTCGCCGCAAGGTACGACGACGACGACGACGGCGCGCCGCCCGCACCAGCCGGCGGCGGCGGCGTCGGCGTCGGGCACCAGCCGGGCGTCAGGACCGGCGGGAGGATCGGGCCGCCGCCGCCACCCGCCGTGCCGAGCAGCGCCGACATGTCGCCGCCACTGACGCCTACGGGCGAGATGGGCGTCGGGTGGCGCAGCTCCGGACCGTGGTCGCCGACCGTGCCTGCCCCGGCGGCCACGTGTAGGCCCGCCGCCTCCCTGCCGCGCCGCTGCTGCGGGGCCTGCCGCCGCTCCTGCATCTCGGCCGTGAACGGGCTCGTGTTGCGCGCGAGCCGCGGGCGTCGGTGCGCGGCGGGCTCTGGGTGAGAAACTGGCGGCGGCGGCGGCGGCTGCTCAACGTAGGGCGGCGTCTGCATCCGCGTCGTGGGTCTCGGGGCGGTGTGGGTGGTGGTGCGGCGGCGGCGGCGCGCATCTGCGTCGCTGTCTTTGCCGCCGCGGCAGTGCTGCTGCTGCTCGCGCGCCGCCTCCTCGTCTGTGTTGCTGCTGCTGCTGCCGTTGCGTCCCTTCCACGACTTGCCCGTGTTGCGGAGTCCAAAGACGGCGAGGACGAGGACGAAGAGGACGGCGCCGACGGCGATGGCGGCCGACACGCCCGGGGTGATGGGGGTGGCGCCGGCGCCTGGGTCGGCTACACCGAGGGCGAAATCCCGATGGACGAGGGTGTTGTGTGTCGTGTGGCGGGGTGTCTTGTGGCTGCTACTGTTTGCTGGGGTGTCAGTACGGGGTGGGCAATGGTGGGTGAGGCGATGCCATGGACGAACTGACCTGGTACCGGGCATAGGATCACCTGCGACGGGCTGCGTATGGGAAGAGGCGGAGCCATGGGGCACGGCGGTGCCAGGCTCGCGTCGAGCCAGCATCTCGGCGGTGCCTGCTGTTTGCTGCTCACGGCTGGGTGCTGCGAGCTCCGGAGTCAGGGGCATCCTGCGCGCGAGTATTGGTGGTGTTCTAGGAGCAATCGGAATCGTGAGGAGCGGAAGATGGCAGTCAAGATTCCAGAGAGACTGTCTGTCCATGTCGATGGCAGGTGTTGGAGACAAGAGGTCAGGCTTTTTCACAAGCGCCCACGCCGCTCTCCCTTTGAGTCGTCCACCCCTCAAAGGACGATCCCGAGCAAAGGAAGGAAGGTTCTATGATGACCCCTCAGCCGCAGCGCCCGCGTGCGAGTGATATGTGATATCCGGACGGAGCAGGACCAAGCATCCGGCGCAGGGGACGAAGAATATACACGTCATAATCTTCAGCTCGCTCGTCACCGCCAGACCTTTCCAGTATTGCCAATCCCAACCCTTTTTGGTCGGGAAATATGAAAACTTCAGCCTCTCGTCGCGTGCGGTTCGTTTCATTGTTCTGTGTGCGCGTCGTCTGCGTGCCAGCCAACAATCTGGAATGTTCGGCGGCCGCGCCTTCTCCCTGAGATTGCGCCCTGCTGCTGCTGCCCCATGGACAAAGAATGTGCCAGCTGAGACATGAGTGCTGGCAGAGGACGATGCGCACAAGAGGAGCAAACGAGCCCAAAGAAGCCACGTGTGTTACCATAGACATTTCTTTTTTTCCCCATGCCTTTCGCACCTTTTCTTTGCCCCGGTCTCGAGACGGACCAACGAGAGGACGTCTTTGACTTCATACTGCAAACGCAAGACGTTGCGTAGGAGGGCGCTGTGTCATTCTACAGCGACACCTTTTCAGCTTGGAGGAGCTTGAAAATTTATGGGAAAACATCTATACTCTATGGATAGTAGGTAGATATAGATCATACGTTTAAAGTTCAGAATCTAGGCAAAGACGAAAAAACGACAGAAAAGTTCACGCTAGAGCGGAGTACACCAGAAAGAAAGACAAAAGAATGACGCATTCGTCAAGGCCGGTGGGTTTTGAAACCCGTGGCGACCCCGGTGGCGCCCTCGCGCAAGTTCCTGCCGACGGCGTGGCCAAGCTTCTCGTGGCCGTCCCCGCCGTCGTCGTAGCCCTCCTCGCGCACGTTGTGCCTGCCGACGATGGTCAGGAACACCTGGTCGAGCGTCGTGGGGCTGACGCTGTAGTGCTGGATGCCGAGCGCCGCCTTCTGCTCCTCGAGCATGACGACGAGCTGCCCGATGGCGCTCTGCGAGCCCGCCGCCGCCTCGCTCGCGCTCCTGATCTCGTCTGTGACGTCGGCCATGTCCCCGTTGCCGTCGGCCGCCGGCGGGGGCTTGCCAGCCGCCGCCGCCGCCGCCGCCGCCGCCTTCTCGCCGCCGGAAATCTGCGACGCGGGGACCGAGAAGCGCATCTGGCCGTGGTATGACTTGGCCTCGATGTCGGCGCCCGGCAGGGTCCGCGCGATCCAGTCCCGGATGTGCGCCACCTGCTCGGGGGTCGTGTGCGGGGCGCCCTTGCAGACGAGGTGGACGTGCAGCAGGTTGCCGAACCGCTGCCTGAGGTCGTCCGCCGAGCCCATGGCGAGCATGCGGCGCGCGAGGATGCCGGCCCGCCCGGCGAGCGCGTCGGCCTCCTCCATGGAGTGCGTAGTCAGGAGGATGGATCGGCCGGGGGCGGTGGCGGCGAGGGTTCGCCACATGATACGCTTCGCGGCTGCGTCCAGGCCCGAGGACGGCTCGTCGAGCAGCACAACCGAGGGATTGCCCATGAGGGCGATTCCCAGAGACAGCTTGCGCTTGTTGCCGCCCGAAAGCGCGAGGGCCTGGCGGTCACGGAAGTTCTCCAGTCCGACGGCCTTGATGACGGCCTCGACGTTGTGGTCCACGTCGGGGATGCCGCGCACGCGGGCGTAGAATCGCAGGTGCTCGAGGACCGTCATGGCGTCAACAGCGTCGAACTGCGGGCAGACTCCGAGGTTTGCGCGGGCCGCGGCCAGCCTGCGCGTGACCGAAACTCCCTCGACAAAGATGTCACCGCCGGCGGCACGGTCTGGCTGAATGTCACCACGGATCATGGAAATGGTGGTGGACTTTCCGGCGCCGTTGGGTCCCAGGAGCGCAAAGACCTCGCCCCGCTTGATGCCAAAGGTGACATTGTCCACAGCAGTGTTCTTGCCAAACGTCTTGGTGAGGTGCACGACCTGCAGGCCATCGCTGCCCGTGTCGATGGGCTCCTTTCCGCGCCCAGCGTCCTTTGCTCCGGCGGCACCCGACGTGATGCGCGCAAGCTCAGCCACCACCTCCTCGTCAGGGGCCTCGGTCGTGGTCGTGCCGGATGCTGGCGCTTTCCTGCGCGAAAAGATGCGCTGGAAGGTGGACTTGATTGTACCGCTGTCGACCCAGAGAAGGAGCAGGAAGTAGAGGATTGGTTGGATGACGAGGTACAGGATCGGACCGCCGTAGTACTTCATGCCGGCCGGGTTGTCTGTAAGTCTCTGGTCATCGCAGGCGGCTGAGAAGAGGTTGAGCGTAACAAAGAATGCCTTGACGACGGATCCGATGGGGAAAATAGCGCTCATGATATAATGGCCGATCTCGAGTGTCTCGTCCACCTTGTTGACGGGGGCGAAGGTGAGGATGCTCAGGTATGCTAGAAGAACAAGTCAAGCGGTTAGTCTATAGATCTCCATGTGGTTTTGTGAAACGTGCAGAGGCGTCCGACTTACCGATCAGGTACCCGAGGAAGCCAAGGACCGAGAAGCCGGCGGTAAAGGCATAGGCCGAGAGCTGATTCTTGCAAAAGATGGAGAAGAGGTAGGCCGTCAGGATGGACGAGAGACCGTAGAGGACCAGGATCGGGAAGATGTAGCCAAGATGGAACCAGACGCTGGAGAGGGCGACAAAGAGAATGACGGCCAGGGCTGACGAGGCGAGCACGATTGAGAAATCGAAGCCGACGTAGGCGATCCAGAGCGGGAACTGGCGGACGCCGTTGGAGTACTGAAGGCCACGGACCTGGCGGCGACGCTCGAGATTGGGGTAGAGGGAGAAGAAGCCAGGGTAGGCAGCCAGGGCGAGACAGATGTAAACGAGCATCTGGAGCGAGTTGCCGGAATCGGGCGACCAGGGGGTGTCGAAGGGCGAGTAGGTGGCCGCAAGGGTCTGGTTGGTAGTTATCGAGTTTAACAGATTCTGCCCGAAGAAGGAGTTGACAGCCTCGGGGAAGACGTTGAAAGCGAGCGTCGGGGCGCTGCCCGAATCGCCAAGCCACAGGCCTGCGGGCGTGATATTTTTGCGCAGATCGACGATTTGCCGGTTGAACTCGTCCAGCGTGTCGACGAACGTGATGTTTTGCACCAGGCCACTGAGGCCAGTGCTGTTGCCAGTGCCACTCGTTCCGGCTACCATCGGGCCGAATACGCTCAGCACCGCCTGTGGCGAGAACTTGGATCTCGGGCCGGCAAGAAGGTGCATGTTCTGGATGTTGTCAAAGAAGTTGTTACTCCGTCTCCTTCCTGCGAAGGCTTCCGGGGTGCACCCGAGGGGCTTCTGACCCTTGATGAAGAGCGTCACCAAACCGGCTGCAATAACGGGGATGGCAAAGGCGGCCAAAGATGGAAACCAGTTGTGCTTAAAAATGATGCACCGCTTCATGAACAGCACCATAGCCTGCTTGACGATGCCAACCTTTTGTCCCGAGAGGAGCTCCATGCCCTTCTCGTCCGTCTGCTCGACAGGAGACGCAGCCAGGACGCCATCCGGAGAAGTCTGATCCTTGCTGCCAGGAGCCGATGCTTCGCCCTTGATCTCTTCGGCAAGTTGCAGGAAGACGTCCTCAATGGTTGGGCCAGAGAAGCGGTAGTCGCGGATTCCATGGGCCTCGAGGGTGCGGATGACATTGGCCGCCAGTGCCGAAGAGGGAGCGATGTAGCTGACAACGTCGAAGGCCACCTTCTTGACCACGCCATCCACAGCAGGACCGTCTCGGAGGGTCGAGGTCTTGAGGAAGTGGATGCGATAGCCACCGCCCAGTCGCTCCTTGAGCTCAACCGAAGACCCTTCAGCGCGGAGGGTGCCCTTGGAAAGTACGGCGATGTGATCGGCAAGAAGGTCGGCTTCGTCCAGGAAGTGCGTCGTCAGGATCATGGTGCGCTTGCCGCGTTCGGCGAGAAGGATGTCCCAGATCTTCCTCCTGCTCAATGGGTCGAGTCCACTGCTGACCTCGTCGACGCAGCAGACGGCGCTGCCTCCCGTAAGCATCATGGCGAGTTGCAGCTTGCGCTTCTGACCGCCCGAGAGTGTGCTCGAATGGGCCCTTATCTTATTGGCCAGGTCGACGGCAAAGACGAGGTCGGTAAGCTCCTGCCTGCTGGACACCTTGTTGGGAGACTTGAGCCTGTTGAAGATCTTGACGTGCTCCAGGACAGTTACCTCGTCCCAAAGGACGTTCTTCTGAGGCGCAATTCCGAGGCCGCCGGTACCGTCGATGGTGATCTTGCCGCTGGTAAGCTTTCCGATGCCCGCAATAGAGTCGAGGGTCGTACTCTTTCCCGAACCGTTGGCACCAAGAAGAGCCAGGATCTGGCCGCGGCCGGCACTGAGAGTGAGTCCATCGACGGCTCGCACGGGTTCCTTGGGCTTGGAGATGAAGGAGAACATGCGCCTGATGATGCCAGGGGCGTAGATCTTGGTAAAACCCTCGAGCTGAACTGCGGGCGCATTGGCGTTGTCCCGGTCGTACACAATGTTGCGCCCCTGAGCGCCGGTACCGTAGAGATATCGCTCGATGAATGCGCCAAGGATAGGGTAGAGAACGGTCTGGAGACCAAGGAAGACCCAGAGCCAGACAGCAGGCATGTTCCAGGCGCTCCCCGGCGGAACGGCGAGGAGGTCCAAGGGCCACCTTTCGCGCTCCCAGCGGGCGGTGTTGCTGATGAAGTAGACATAGTTGCACGGGGCGAAGAAAAGACTAAGGACAGCGACAGCGCCGGTGCTAGGGTACGAGATTGCCTGCGCCACGATGGCGAGCACGCAGAAGACGATGGTGACGCTGACGCCGCTGAGCTGAGCCTTCTTGAAGAAAGCGGCGCCCAGGATGGAGTTGGAGGCCAAGGCGAAGCCAGCGGTGAGGTGGTAGAAAACAAACAGGAGGGCGCTGGTGTGAGGGAAGACGCCAGCACGGATGATGATGCAGCCGATGATCCATCCTGGGGCGTAAATGAGCGAGAAGGCGGCGTGGTACGAGAACAGACGGGCTGCCTGTGAGAGCCAAGGGTGTCTGCTGGCCATCATGGACTCAATCAGCGTGGACATCCCAATCTCGCGCTCGGTGGCCATAAAGCCCGTGAGGTGGTAGGCGATGCCGACCATGCCGGCGATGAAGGCCACGCCCATGAAGTTGGTTACGGCGGACTGGTAGTTGATGCGGATTTGCTCGTTGCGTTCCTCGTTTGTGAGCTTGGTGAAGAAGTACTCATCGACCTTGGACGGCAGGGAGCCCTGGTTCGAACTCGCGTTGAGGCCAGTGATGACGGCGTCGACAGCACGCTGGAAAGGCAGAATAAAGACCTGGGCGTCGTTGTCGTCCTTATCGACGTCGTACCTAGTGCCACTGCCGATGCTGCCGTCGAGACGGATAGTGTAGTTCCAGAACCCGCCGCGGCCTTCCGAGGGCGAGCTGCGGAAGACGACGGCGCCATAGCAGCTAGAGACGGCGTAGAGGTTGGAGCGACAGGCGGTGCCAAGGTCGTCCTCGTTAGACAGACGTTTGACCGTCTTTCCGGCACTCTCGACCTGGCTCGTCAGATTGGCGATGACACGCGAGATCTCGCCATCACGGAAGCCCGAATCGACAAAAGCAACAGTGGACCTGCCTGTGCGGGAGCCTAGGTCAAGGGCATCGGCAAAGCCCCTGATGGCCCGCGGGCTGGTGATGCCATTCTTGGCTGGGGGGACAAACAACCGCTAAATTTCGATCGGGGTCAGCTTGCGATGCTGCCAAGGACGCTACCAGAAATTAACTTACCTGAGCAAACGTGAGGAAAGTGGTGATGATGATGGGCAAGATAAAGGCCCGAAGAATTGTTGCTAGTGGATGTCGCAAAAAGATGATACTGCCACGTCGATTAGCGCCTGCGGCGGTGATCGGATAGGGGGGGAGATTAGAACAATGGACTCACAGCAAATTCTTTTTGAATAGAGTCAACGTCTGGCGGATGAAGGCCATGGCTGCGGCTGGTCGGGTCTGCCGCTAAAGCAGCGGTGCGACGGGCGTCTTCAACGCGCGCGCCCGGTCAGTCGAACTGGATCGTTGATCGGTGCGGAGGGACGGTGGATGATTCTGAGGACCAGGTCGGATCTATCAGATGACCGGTGGGGATTCCCGGCAGACCTGATACGGCAGCCGAAGGACGGCGATATCTTGTGTTGTTTGTTGGCGGGTTATCTCAGTCTAGACATGTGTCCCAGAAACCATCCCCAGAGCCACCCAGAGAGGGAAATATGCAGAAGAAAAAGGGTCCTGGTCTGCGGCTGAATCTCGCCCAAAAAGGGATGCTGACGCGTTCGTTCCAAAGTGCAAAATTAAAGTGGAAAAAAAGTCGCAGCACAAGGGCCAACGCGAGCGCCAACACGATGGGGGGGCAGGCCAAACAAATATCAGCCCTAGACGCAAGCCGCGACAGCAGGCGACGCAGTAGGATCAAACAATGCCGGTTGATTACTCCATGATCCTCAACGCTAGCGAGGCAGGGGAGCAGTCTGGTGAGCGAGCAGACGGGCTGGTGCAGCGATTGAGGCTGAGCAGGGCGCTCGCTGCAGCGGCCACGGCATTGAGAGTCGTCGAGGAGCGGGTTTGGGGCGAGAAGGCCAAGACAGGTGTCTTGGTGGCAGCAGTAAGCAAGCTTCTATTCTGATTCGTCTTCCGAAGAGACTCGAGCAGACACTGCTCGTTTCTGGGCGCCGCGCCGAAAACGGGGCGTTTGTGCGGGAGGCCGGGGTCACGATAGGCCTACCAGGATCCGGTTAGCGCAAGCTGGCATGGTCGACGGGGTTCGGAGGAAACCTGAACCCCGACCATCGGGCCTACCTAAGACGGGCATTTATCGCGCTTTGTTTTGAACATTTGCGTCGTCGGATTGCTCGTATTTCCAGCCGGTAGTCGACCGAAGCAGTGGAAATTGGTTGCACAAACAGCACGTACAGCGCATACTTGAGGGCTGTGCCTATTAGGGAGTTTCCAATATGAAGTACCGCGCATGACAAGACTGACAGCACGGCATGCTCTCGAGGAGATTTATCATTGATATGGACGTATTTTCCAACGGGGTTCGATACACTGTGCACAGACTAAAATCCATCAGCATCAATTGAGGCCGAGAATCTTGGTGGGGGATTGGAACACTGCCTGACTCTTGCCAGCGCGAATGTCCCCCGCGCCTTCCAAGACCATCCAATACAGCCACCTGATCCACCTGCGTGGCACATTGCGCTTTCCTCATTCTATCGGGTGAGCTCCATGTAAAGGGATCTTTGATGCCTGGCAATGAGATTAGGTTCAGTCCCTGAAGCACAAGCTGATAGGTGAGCATGGACCGTAATCTGGGTGCGGCGTAGCGCTAGGCCGCCTGCAGCTTTCCCCGTAAGCAATGAGGCGGTGCTCGCCAACTCATTTCCGGCCGTGGTTGGCGCCCCCCTTGTAAGCATTCCCTTCTTGCTGTCGACGCGGCCTCCTTTGCCGCCAGTCAGCCAAGCTGGCTTAGACGGCGCCCAGGATCATCTCCTGCGACAGGAACCCGACGCCGCCCCTGCGACGGTTCCTAGCCGCCGCCGGCTCCCACCTGTCGCCGCCGTACACCAGCGTCGCCAGGAAGGTACCGATGGCGCCCGTGTTGAGGTAGACGTTGCCCAGCTCGAAGACGCCGTGCCGCGCCCGCTCCAGGCCGTGGCCCCACGCCTGCCCGCGCCGCGCCACCGCGCACTGCCGCCCGCTGTTGCTGCCCGCGCTGGGGCACCATAGCAGGTTGCGCGTGAGTGGGTCCTGCGCCTCGGCGTCCTGTCCTTCGCCGCCGTGGTCACTATCGCCGTCGCCGTGGCAGTTTGCGTCGACGAGCCGCAGCCAGCGCGGGTCCAGCGGCCCGTCGACGCCCCAGTCGGGCGTCGTGCTGATCAGGCGCACGATGCGCGAGAGGCTCGGGTTGGACATCCACCAGTACTCGGTCAGGCACTCGTTGCACGACGTCCCGTGCCGCGTCGGCCGGTGTCTCGCGCGACTGGGACGCTGGTGGTGCCACGGCCTCGTGGCGGCGGCCTCGTCGTCGGACAGGTCGGGGCCCCAGGGGATGACGTATGGGTCTATGGTGTCGCAGAAGATGGACTCCTTGCCGCGCGTCTGGATATGGTGGCACATGCAGCACCTGGCGTCGGGCTCCTCGTGCTGGTGGTGCACCTGCACCCTGCCGCGGCCCACACACGCGCACACGTTTGGGTCGAAGGAGCGCCGGACCACGTCGTCGAAGGTGATGTGCGGGCACGTCGCGATGGTCTCGTGCATGCCCGACCTCCTCATCATCCGCAGCAGCTCCTCGACGCTGGCCGGCCGGGTCCTGAAGTAGAAGGGCGCCGACATGCGCCGCACGAGCACGCTCGCCACCGCGTCCTTCTCCTCGCGCGCCGCCGGGTCAGGCTTCCTCCCGAACGCGCTCCCTCTCGGCGGCGGCTCGACGACCACCTCTGGGTAGTGCCCCCACACGCGCGAGGTGTCTTCCCGAAGCATCCTCAATCGCCGCCGCTGGTACTCGGCCCTACTCTCCCAGCCCTTCTTGCTGCTCCACTCGTCCTTGCCGTCTTTGCTCTCCAGCTCGTCCTCGGCGACGCGCCCGCCGAAGTCGTGCGACTTGTGCATGCACCGCAACGTAACCCGCCGGTCCCCGCGCCGCTGCTCCTTGGCCGCCGACTTGGCCGCTCCCTCGACCTGGTCCCACCCGATGGTGACGTGCGCGCACAGCCGGATCCGGCCCTCGCGGCCGCGGCACAGGCGGCCCTCGGCCGGAGTGCGCCCGGCACCGGCGCGCATCCGCGCCGAGAAGAGCAGCGCCGGGTGGTGGCGCTCCCTGCGGTCCGCCTGGCTACAGCCATCGCAGCGCACGCCGCGGCGGACGGCGTTGACCACGGCCAGCGGCCGCTCCCAGCCGGTCCGCACGTCGCGGCAGGACGCGCAGAGCAGGTCGCGCCGCAGCGCCTGCCCGATCAGATCGCGCGCCGTCACAAAGTTCCG